TTTCCAATGTAAACACGGACTTTTCAGAGAAAAGGCAGTGTTTACCTTGCTTCCTAGTGACACCTCTAGTGACAGTCACTCAGACGGTCACTAGAGGTGCTTCCTGTGTACTACATGCTCTGGAGGCTCTGAACGTTCCCCCTAGAGATACATTGACTCAATGCATCTCTATGAGGAGATGCTGATTGTTGTAGCGTTTTGCAGCCAATTCTATGGCTAAGCATTGGATTGGCTGAGATCATCAAGCTTGATAATCTCAGGCATAGAGGCAGGGCCAGTCGAGGGGAGAGCAGTACGGTGTAGGGGGGTAAAAAGTGAGTAAAAACACTATTTTTAAACACACACAGACACACACATACACCATGACAGACACAGACACACACAAATACCATGACAGACACACACTAACACACACATATACCATGACAGACACACACACACCTTGACAGACACACACATACCATGATAGACACAGACACACCTTGACAGAAACACACACACCTTGACAGACACACACATACCATGACAGACACACACACCTTGACAGACACAAACACACCATGACACAGACACATCATGACACAGACACACACACACCATGACAGACAGACACACAATATGACAGACACACACACCATGACAGACAGACAGACACACACATACACTCACACTGACAGACTGACACATTATCGCTACGTGTGGGTGACCGGCCAGGGAGTCGTGCAGGGCAGACAGCTGGGTGTGCTGGTGACCGCAGGGGGAGCATTTTGTTGGCGCCCGCAGGGGGAGTTGTGCTCGCTCTGCTCTGCTCCCCAGCGTGCAGCTTAATTAGACCGGGGCCGGAATATGATGTCATATTCCAACCCTGGTGTGAGGGCGGGGGAGCAGAGACAGCACAGTCCGGCCCTGGGTATGCCCCCAGGATATCATAGAACAAGGTCTCGGCAATGCCGAGGGAGACTCAGCACTGGAGAAAAGGTGAATAATTTATTTGCTATTACTTTATTTTGTTTTTTTATTTGACGCTTGGGGGGACCTAACTGAAAAAGGACATCAGGACTCTTGCGTTAGGAATACAGATATGTATTCCAAACTTTACAGTGTTCCTTGAATTTGTAGCTGGCTATCAGCAGTCAAGTCAAGTTCCCAATAACTTTGCTGTACAAATATAAAACTATTTTGTTCATTCTGATACCAGGTCTAGATGCTAAGGGCAATATAAAGGAACCAAGAATTGGATTTTTTTTTTTAATTTACAATTATGTACAGATTTTTAATTTCAACTTTACCAGAAAGAAAATATATACACAGTCACTTTCATGTGCACTCTCTTATAAACAGGGCAATCTATGCTTGTACTCAAAAATCAAACCTTCTAATATCGTAGGATATTGGATATGTAAATAGTTGGTTTTTTTGTTTGTTTATTTAGGAATGAACAGATAGAAACAGGGATTCCTACCGAACCTGATCTGGAGGATGTTCTTGAAATTCTAGTTATATCCATAGTATGATGTCCGTGGGGACAATAAGGCTTTGAGATCAAAACAAAAGGGTTTAGAATAAATATTAGGAGAGACAACGGAAACCTATCGTTTGACATGAACACTGGTCACATAGACACTTCTCCTGTCATGTGGGCAGTCCAAGCATCTTACAGGGAAGGAAAATGTTTCTGCTAGGATTTCACATGATATATATTTAATTACTAATTGACCTCATAAATAGTAGGGCATTTCTACTGTATCTCAGAT